CCCCATCCCATCTCTCACGAGCACTGGGCTTCACTGACTGTAAGTGAAAGACCCTCGGATCGAGGAGTCCCCACAAATCAGATGGTCCCCCCAAAAAAACTCAATGTCCAGTCCAGCTGATGTAAAAAACAAGAGGTAAGTTTATTATGAGACGTTTGTGCAAACAGGCCTCCCAGTCCAACAGACAAAGGAAGCCCTGTTCCTCAAAAGCAAGCTTCTTTTATAGGAGAAAACCATAGGGGTTAGGGTCGTGACCAGAGTTACAGGTTCTTTGGAGATCTCTTATCTTTGGGGCCGGATGGTCTCCTGACTCTGTGATAGTCTGTTCATATCAATATGGCCCCAGGGCAGGGTGGCCCTCTGGGAATTCTTGGTATTTAGTTAGGCTGTCTTGTGGCCTTGTAAGGGAGTTATTGCTGCCGGCTAGGAAATTCCAGGGACTCGGGTCATTGTGACCTTGGTTAGATTTCTAAGTCAAGTCGCCCTGTTTTTAGTGTGGGAGGTTTTTTTTAAGTCTCCTTATTTTATTTCTTTGTTAATTCTTAAGTCCTTCATTCCCCCTTTTTTTTTCTTTTAGTTAACCCATTCTTGGCTTACTAGTGGACAATTCTATCTTGTCTCCCATCTAAGGGAGTTCTTTTTGATTTAGCATTTCAACCAGGGAAAATGGGTGACGTATTTCTCATGCTACTTCCTGCTGACTTTGGGGCCTCGTTAGGGATCTAAAAAAAAACTGAAATGTTAGTCAAAAGAAAAGGGGATTTAGGCAGTGGAGAAGCAACTGATTGGCAGACTGTTGAAGAGACAGGGGTGTCTGCATCAGCAGGACTGATTTATATTCTCAGCATGTCTGGGGCTTACGGTCTTTAGGAGTAGGCTGTAGTCAGCAGCTGATACTCAGATGTGTCCTTGAGTCCTAGCAAAAAATACTTACAGATTTGGGTTAGAAGAAACATCAGGGGACCTCAGCGCTTGGCACATCGTGGTACTGCTGAGTTAAGATGAGGGCTTGAGTGATAGATAACCTTTCATGTATAAACTGTAGGAGCCTAGTGAGGAGACAAGGGCCAAATGTCAGGAGTAAGAAGAGTATGAACAGTGGTCCTACCAGGGTGGAAATTAGGGTAGTCAACCATGGGGTCCTATTGAACCATCCTTCGAACCATCCTTGTTGAGCCTCGGCCTCCCTCAGTCTTTTAGCTAATCTCTCTCTGAGTTTTGCCATGGAGTCCCTAATTTACTGCTGAGTGGTTTACACAGAAGCAGCATTCCTCTCTGAGGGCAACGCAGAGTCCTCCTTCTTTTAGAAACAATAGGTCTAACCCTCTCGGGTTTTGGAGGGCCAGGGAGGCCAGTGATTCCTCCAGCATGGTTATTGACTTTTCTAATTCCTTTAAGTCTGCCCTCATGGCATTTTTGAGCTAGCTGTACTGTTGTGGTCCTTGGACCAGGGCTGCGGTCCCTGTACCAATCCCAGTGGTGACCCCAATCCCTAACAGGACAGCTAGGGTTATGGACACTGGTTCCCTTTGATATCGGGTCTGATGAGAACCGTACATGTCCTCCAGATAGCCTGCTAGATGGTACAATACACGGGGCATCAGTTGGACCAGCACACAGAAGTTTTTGGTTTGGTTGAGGGCTCCTGTATGTATACAAGGGGTGAGCCCAGTATTGCAGGCTCACCATAGGCCTGGACTAGGTATCAGGTAGGTGGGTTTTGTAGGCTTCGGGAAGGTGTGGTTACAAAGGTCTTGGTGAGACTGGGGAACAGGGCCTAGGCAGGTGCCATTCCTGAGACTTGAGTAAGTTTATGGTGTGCTCCCCAATCACATTGAGATGAATCAGTGGGGTTATTAAATGTCCCTAGGGTGGCTATGCCCTCATAGTAGGGGGGTGCAGAAGCAAGGCATAGCCAGCAAGGGTTAGTCATATCTGGCCTGGTTTGGTTAAGGGCGGAGAAGGCTCCTCTGACCAGATTAAAAATTCCATGTCCAGTAGATGGAATATTGTCTACCTGGGAGGCAGTGGCGAGGGAGGGGTTGGTGGTGGTTGGAACCGGGGTAATGACCAGAGCTGGAGCTCTGGGTTGGGGGAGCTTTGGGGTTCCCAGGTTTCTAAGGACTGGGTTGGGCTCTTTCACCCATGGGGTAGGGCTCTGTATCAACAACCGGACCTTGAATATCACTCGTCTGTCTGTTCCTTTCATGTGCCATCTTAAACCCCAAGTTTTCCCGGTTAGCCAGGCCACATAGGTTGCCTTCCCTTGGTGAGGGAAGTTGATTTTCAGAGGGAGGCAAAGAGCTCCTTTGCAAGTTCGCTCCCAGCCCCCAAAACTGCAGGGACCACATTGGAGGGGTTGCAAGTAGTTCTGCTTGACAGTTATCAGATCCCAGGAGGAGCTGGGTTTCCAATAAGCATTCCCAGTAATTTTGCAACCCCATTTAGCACAGAAATATTCATTATAACCTCCACATCCTGAGCCCTGAGGCTGCCCCTCCCGGGGACACACATAGAAATCAAATCGGGCCAGCTTGCACTGGGTCATCTTATTGCTGCAGCCAAATTGGTGGTTTCCTCTACCCATGCTGGCTGTCATCTCATCTGCCCCTATAGTCGGGATATCCCAGGTTTCTAGACCTGTGGCTAGGTGGCAAAAATCAGGGGTGAGTGTAGGCCACCAGGTACCAGGGGGCTGGAGGCTAGTGACTGATCAGACGACTTCCTCTGTCTGGGAAATCACCTGCCAGGTTAGCTGCTTGGGGGCATGTGGTGCTCCTTTAACTAGGGCTGAGAAATAGAAAAGCATCGAGCATAGTGAAATAATCAAACATCGAGTAAAAGTCTTATCTTGAGCGGGTTTTGAGTGCACTGTAGCTTCCATTCTGGGGTCTCGTACATCTCCCAATTCTCGCTGGTGTTGGCCTTCTTGGTGTGCAAGGCGTGGGCCCATGCTGAGATCCCGTTCACCTTGAGTGCCATGGGGGTGGTCAGAAGCACAGTGTAGGGGCCCTTCCAGCGAGGCTCAAGAGTCTTAGACTGGTGGCGTCTGAT